TGCAGTACTTCGAAGCAACGGTAGAACTTCGTACTTTTTTCTCTATATCTGCAATTGAAATTCCCCAAGAAATTTGATAGCAGGTAGAAATAACATTCAAAGGAGGGCGTATGAGTAGTTTACGAACGTTGTATATTACTGCTACTGCGTAAATGTTCGTGCGGTTGTGCTCTACAGCTCTCTTATGTGTTTTTGGGCTGCACCCCATGTTGTCCGGCGTGATGTCTGGGACTGTTGTTGTTTTGCTGCCTTGCACAACCTTGTATTTATTGTTGAAAAATTGGCAGGAATTGACATACTTTTGCAATTTGTACTTATAGACTTTATTTATTTTCCGTATTTATTTTTAGTGATTTGATTACCTTTCCTATACGTTGCACTCCAACCGTTTTTTGTTTGTATTGTTTGTTATTGTAACTTTCTGACCCACCCCTACTGGGGAAAAGAGCTTCATAGCTCATCGGATTTATCCAGGATAAATAAAGATTTTTATTTTGATGTCACTGCACGCACGGGGTAAGCATCCTCAGGAAAGAAACGACTCCGTTGGTCCATTCGCATCCTGACTCAGTCGGTTCTGATTTAGTTCTCGAAGACACCTCCTGTAACCGTGAAGCGAATAATCAGAAAACGTGCCGAACGATACGCGACACGACCGTGAAACACATCGGAGAGGAGCTTTCACATTATTTGCTATCGTTGTCAGCGGGTCTCTCTCTCTCTCGCTTTGCCCCGTAGCATTTGCAATTCCTGGCCATTCACTGATAAGTACAATTCCCACGGGTGGTGCGGTGAGCGCTGCTACTCTTGGTCCGAAGCCAAGCTGTGTTCACGGAGGGGCCCTTGGGTCACAGTTGCAGCTGGTAATGATGGTGGCGACAGCAGCAAGTCTCATTCTGCACATCGTGCATTCATTCATCTTGGTGGTGGCCGAACCACACGCAACGTCGGAAAGTACCCGGCTGACCCAGCAAACTTTGCGGCAACGTGCACGTTTGTGCAGGGGAGATGAATTGGAACGGCATGTTCGTGAGCTCTAATAAGAGCGAGAGGAAAAAAATGTCCTGCTGTAGACTGACAGATTGCCTTTCGGGAAGTTGTTTGGCTGAGACATTAAGCACCATTTGCCAACATACATTTATATTTTTAAAACATGTGTAAATTGACTGTGTTTCAAATGGCACTCAAGCGCACAGAAATAATACGTAAAAAAATGACTTTTGGTGTAATGGCCTTTATTCAGAGCAGTGAGAGTGGGCAGAGACGTTGACTAACTTGAGTGTTTGAAGATTGAGCTGTGCTCGGTGGGACCCTGACAACAGTGCGACAAGAGAATGAAGTTGCAAAAGGCGATTTTAAGTTAGCATGTGAGCAATCGTGTTTTAATAGACAGATTGCTCAATCACAACAATGTCATGTTCCATGGGCAGCATTGACAGGCTGTAACATCGAAACAATGACTGCCCAGTTCGGTCAAAGTGACAGAACGGAGAGTCAATGGGTTCGCACACGCAGCCGATGAGATCAATCCTGGCTGCACCTGCACTCTGGAGAGACGTGCACTGATTATCGCGTCGCATCGCTCCGTCGAGACCAGTGGCGTGGCTGTTGCCAATCGCATGGGCACGAGTTGTGCTATTGTTGTGTTTTGTTTGTTGTCCCTGCCCACTTGTCCCTGCTCCGATTAGCACGGTGGCCTCCGTATGGTGAGAAAGACGTTGAACCTACATACATATGTCAGCATACTTTGTGGGCTACCTGGAAGAACAAAGCGATGCAACAATATCCAAGCACCGAGCCTCATTCTTTTGGGAGATAAATAGATATACGGATGACTGTGTAGGCATTGCTTCTTGCTCTAAAAATAAGTTCAAGTCTGTGGTCTATGAGGTGGCCATGAGATGACAGGTTAACACAATGGGCTCATCTTCTTTGGTTCTTTCGGTAAAGTCACGTAGAATGAGAATAAAATAATAAATTGATAAAATAAAATAACACAACAAAATTCTCAAGACGTTTCGGCCACAACACAAGCGGCCTTCATCAGGTGAAGGGACGAGACTGTCTGGAGGACAGAAAGCTTTAAATCGAAACAATGGGCTCAGTGCACAAAATAGTTCGCATCTATTGGGTCCGTTAATTCAATCTACGTGGAGGTTTGAGTGTTATCCGCTCGCGTGTGTACGTGTGTGGGTTTTATCTGGGTACTCCCACGTTTCTCCCACATGAAAGCCGCTCGTTAATGGAAATGGCCAAACATTTAGATGTAGCAGGACCCTTTGAAAAAGTATTGTAACTCCAATTGTGTTCAGGAGCTCAATGAAATACTCAATGTATGGCATCGTCATCATCGTGGTCACCGTCATCGGTAATTTTAAATCCACTGCTACAGGAAGGAATTTCCATCCCTCACAGTCCTGCGATGCCACAATCCATCTAACTCTTTCCGATCAATTTTCCAAAAGCTGTCCATCCAACTTGTTTCTCTTTTTGTTTCATCATTTTAATACCGATTGGTCTTCAATAGATACTCTAGGCTTATGTAATCTGCTATGTTTTACAGTTGTATCCCTCCAACAAATCATTGTTTCTCAAAACTAGTTGCGAAACGTTTTTATTCAACTTATATTTATCTTGAGCCCAAAGGTACAGCCTTGTTTGTTAAGGTTTTCGATCATGTGTTTATACTTTAGGAATGCCAATTACTTGTTCGGTTTTCAATTTCTCATGGATATTGCAAAAGTTGCAATATAAATCTGCGTGTGAGCTGTTAAATCATTTTCTGATTTACAGTATGAATATGACAAATGCAAGTCCAAAAACAATTCAGTCACACAGATTGCATGCACGTATAAATACAAGCTCCCCCATATAGCCTGTTGGGGAAAATTTTGTTAGTGACCACCTATAAAGACCAGCATGGTACATAAGGGGGTGGGTGGCCCTCACCATGCACGGCTGCCTTTGTCTCCCGAGTGGCGACGTTTGTACATCATAACAGTTGAAGCTGAGTCACGAGCACGCACAACCACATCAACCGCGAAACGTTATTCTGCTGCTTCTCTAATGGTTTTACGCTCCTGAAAAAAAAATATCACGCGATGTTTTTATAACCATTTTATATATGGCATATACGTACCCCGAGCGTGCAATATTTCTCATGAAAACTGCATAAAGGTAATACATTAAACACAATTGAGTCGATAATGAGAAAGTAAATTGCTCTTGAAGAAATTACGGTCGAAGGGAGGTACAGACGCTCTGGAGAGTAACAATGAGTCACACTGCCCAAAAAAAAATGCCGCTTGTAAATTCGTCATCACGGACAGATTAAACGCATTTACAAAGCCCCTTTGTTTTTCAAAATCCCCATCTTTTGACAGCTTTCTTTGTAATGTCTTTATTTTTCTCCGCTTGTGAATGTATAGCAGGTGAAATCATCTGCTTCTGCCTTCATCGTTTTCATGGTTTATGATAAAATTGTAATGACCGTATACAGCACAAATCATAGTGCGGTATTGCGTCAGCACGAGCACAAATGACAAAGACATTCCAACACATTCGTCAACAACACTCCCCCCTAAAAGAAAGAAAGTATACAATAGTCGAATTCCTCAGGCAATGTTCCCACCCACCCCGCTCTTTAAATCATAGAGAGCCAAAATAGATTGGGGTTCTCTTCTTCTGGTGAATGTATGCAGCGCAGGTATTGTAAACTGTGCCAAAGGCGTGTCAAAACATCAATTGCTCACGTTACAATTCTTCTCTGGTGACGGTAATAATGATGAACCGAGACCAATGCTGAGGGGTGTAAGTCACGTCCCTTGTATTGCTTCCAAATAAAAAAAAAATAACTACAATGTACAGAGCTTGATTTTAATACGAAAATCTCTAAAGTCTTCCCAGAACACTGAAAGTCCCCACTTTGTCAGTTGCATCATGATTCACCACTCAAGACAATGCACTGACATGTCGTGCTCCCATCTTTCGGGCGTCGTGCGTTACTCTCTTTCCCATGACATATCTTTTGTACTTTTCGAGGTGGCAACCCCATTGTCCATGCAGTACGCATTCATGTTGAACTTCTTTCGCACCGTACGTAGCCAATCGCGCTCGTCGTAGGTGGGTGGGAAGGACAACAAAGTAAACACGAAAAGCAGTTCTAAAGAAATGAGTTTTCAATCGAGATTTTAAAGTGCACAGCTCCGTATTGGCTTCGCAATATCGGAAGGAAGAGCGTTCCAGACGGCCACAGAAGCGCATCTGAAAGCGCGCTATGCGGCGACCGCCTTTGTTCGATTGCGAGCCCGAAAGTTCGATGGCTAACCCAAAAATAAAAACCGGGAAAGTGCGTGCTGTATTCCCGTCCTCAAAAAAAAGTAATATTTAATTTTTTTTTTTAAAACACGCTTCAATGAAATGTACCGTACTAGTAATGGAATAACTCCACGACTCCAGGAAGTGGCCCCGAAGCTTGCCATAACGTAAGGGGACCGTGGTGATTTACAGCCAACGTCAGTTGAGCGTGGACAATTAGACCCAAGCCGAAACATAACATATAAAAAATAATGCTTAAAAATATGTATTTTTTTTTATTGTAGACTATAGTATTGTCATTAGTATGGCATAAGTCTGCAGTCGATACCACATTGGGAAGTGGGTTAAAATTGAGTTACAAGATTTGAGGATACAACAACAGACAGAGTGAGTTAATAGAAAGCGTATAAAAAGATGCTTTAAAAATATATTTTAATGATAGCATATAGTATTGTCATCAGTAAGACATAAGTCTACGAAGTCTGCAGTCGATACCACATTGGGAAGTGTGTTAAAATTGAGTTACAAGATTTGAGGATACAACAACGACGACAACGACAACAACAGCAACAGACAGAGTGAGTCAAATAAAAGCGTGTAAAAAGCGCGTGATTTTTTTTTATAAAAAAAACCCCCAATGGAACTTTTAACGGCGCCGCGTAACCGGACGGTTTTGCGTGCAGAGTCCGCGTGCCACGAGGACGCGATGCCGCCCGTGCACTGCGGGCTGCTGGCGGCCGCCGGGGGCTGCGTCGCGCCGGGCGTGCGCTCTAAGTGCTGCAGCACGTGCCGCCTGCTCGCCGCTACCCACCCGCACGGAGACGCCGGCGGGGAAGGCGACGCGACGGGACGCCGAGAGGCGGCTGGGAGCCCCTCCCACAGGGTGGCAACGGGCACGGTTTGACACCGGTGATGATGGAGCGGTGTGTTGTACGTTTCAAAATCTCACGTGTCCTCAATCACCATGTACATAAGCCTCGTCTAAACTAGTGTTGGCCAATTTGTTGTTGAATCTTGATTTGAAGCTTTCGTGACTGCAGGAATCCGTGCTCTTTGGTTCTTTCGGTAAAGTCACGTAGGTAGAAATAAAATCAAAACAAATCTCGACTTTTCGATCGCAACACAAGCGATCGAAACGTCATGATTTGTTTTATTTGATTTTATTTCTAACTACGTGACTTTACCGAAAGAACCAAAGAGTAATTTGTTGTTAGTTTCAACTTGACTTTTTGGAATTAAATGTCGGTTCGATGATGATGTAACTACCAACGCAGTCGATAGTCAAATTCGGTAATATCATCAAGCGAACGATCTCTGGCCCGCAAAGGGCCTTCCTCCTGGTGCTCCTGGCCGTTCAAATAAATTGGAAATGAGACCTCTGGACACATCACATGCAAACCTCCTCCTCCACAAGCGGGCAGCTCACTCGCAGTCCACCGGCACTCGCTGTTCGCTGCCGGTTAAGGTGTTAGTTTGAATCGATCAATCGATTTAGTCAAAAGTCGATCAATTCCGATCGGACGGCTGCTCTTTGCGGAACGCCGCTCGTCGCGCTGTAAGGGAAGAAGCACAGTCAGATCGAGTTGTACACATGGGGGACCTTTGAAGTTACATCGTCGGGATTTGGCAATCATCACAAACATATTGCGTACAAAAGAGCACACCGTATGGTGTGTACTCTCATCGTACTGGCAAGCTGTTGTTTTTTTTTATATCTTCACGATTATAGAAGTGCACTGATGCATTGGCGCCAATTGCAAAGAGCGTTAGCAGTAAGCGATCATAAAAGCAACCTCAGAAGTGTTAATTAACAAATTGTGCACATCCAGACATTGCTTTGCATATCCATTATATGAGAAATGCAGTGGAACGATGCACCATATTTATTTCACGGTTTGGTAGGTATTCATTTGCATTCAAACAACGATGACTTTTTTTTATTAAAAAAACGTCACATTGAGGTTGTTTTTCAGGTATACAACAATCGGACGAAATAAATTGGTTTGCTTAAAAAAAAAAACACTGCTTATTGCTGAAACACAACATACAGTAATACCATTATTAATTTTCAGCGGAATCTGCCTAGTATCATTGTGGTCTCTAAGCTCGTAACATTAATCAACAGTGACCGTCGATGGAAGGGGGGCCAAATAAACAATATTAGTGTGCACCAGCATGTAACATTTTATTGTTTCCTCAGTGTCTAAATACACGTTTGAGTTTATTAATTTTTTCTATAGAGCAAAGAAAAAACCCGGTGTGGGTGGATTCACTGCACCCGGAATATTATTCGTAGGTTTAAAGCAATGCCACCTGTTTGTCATGCACGAAGCAGCCTCTTCCGCTGACAGATTAAGACAACCACAGAAGCCAAGCCCATTCCTGCACAGTTTATATGCGCAGTTTAGCTGTCAATTTCAAAAACGAACTGCGGCAAGCGTGTTAGCAGTGAGTACGTACGTTGAACTTAATTCGCACCGTGCGTTAGCCAACAGCACTAATCGGAGGTGCGGGGGCAGGACAACAAACTAAACACAAAAAGCAGTTCTCGAGAAATTAGTTTTAAATCCAGATTTCAAAAGTGCACAGCTACAGTGGCTTTCCTTATATCAGCCGGGTGTTATTTGGGGTTTTTTTTTAGCGATGACACAAAATAACTATTTCCGTCAAAATATAATTAGAATCTTTATTTTTCCTGGAGAAATCCGATGAGCTATGAAGCTCCTTTTTCCCACATATGTCTCGTAGGGGGCGGCTCAGACAGATACAACCACAAACAATACCATAAAAACCCGATAGGAGTGTAAAGTATCGGAAAGGTAAGCAAATCACTGAAAATAAATGAATAAGTGGCAAATAAACTATTTTTATTTTACGAGGTAATGCCCATTGAGCTATTTCTTCTTTTTCAGAAGCAACCTGTTCCCAAATAATAGCTCAACGAAGTGGCGTATGTGCAAATGTATATCAATCAAATAATCTAAATGCATGTTTCTAAATGTAAAGTGAAAAAACAGAGGACCCGGAGAAGAAAATCCACACGACCACGGTGAGAACTCCACAAATACAGCAGGCGTCAGGGTCGGGCTTGAACTTACGGCATCCTGCACACCAGACGAAAAAGATAACATGAAATAGAACAGTTTATAATCTGTCAAAACACAAGATGAATTACATGAAGCTGAAAAACTGTTACAACCGAGACATTACCAAGTCACCAGTATGGCTTAAAAAAAATCCAACAGCTGGTGACATCGTAACTTCAGTCTGAGGAGAGAGGGGGCTGTGAGCATAATAATTCTCATGCGAAACGTGTGGATTATGGGAGTGAAACTACATCGATTAGTATCGATTCCTAAGGCTCACGTTACATGAGAAATTGTGCACATAACAATTCATGTTCATTTGGTTTATGCTAATTACCTTCAAATTATAATCTGTCTCAATTCGGCTAATGGTGTGAACAAAACTGTACAAACGTCATAACAATTGTAATTGAAAAACAATACAAACTAGACCGTAAAAAACGAGATACAAAAATTATACCGTCTTGATTCAAATCATGCCCTGAATCCGCATGATTCACCGACTCATTACACCCCCAATGCAGGAAGGAGTTTAATTAACTACAGTAATTAGAAGCAGGAACAAGGATTAAGAATGCACCGGTGCTGGATTTACACCAGATGGGAACTCTTGAGGAAGCTGCATCGATTAGTGGGGCCAATCTGCTGGGGGAAACGCTCTGAGGCCACTTCCTCCAAATTCCAATTATTGAATTAACAAAATTATTTGGTGGTACAGAAGCACAAATGCAATTAAAAAAAAACTAAACACACTCGTCAATAACACTGTTGCCCTAAAAGGAAAAATAAATAATGGGTAATGCTTCAGGCGATGGTCCTTCTTCATAGAACCCGTGCCATGTTTTACGTGCTATGACGAAGGTCCATTGCCCAAAAAATCGCCCTAATTTAGGGTTTCCATTTAAGGCCACACAGCCTGATTGACGAATGTTGACGATTTTGCGATTCAGTGTAATCGAGTCGACACCACCTGGGCCGAGTTTGTTTTCCTGCTCGAAGGCAGGAGCCCACGAGTCGCCGCCACATCCCGACACAGACACGGTCGCTCTTCCCGAGCAGCTTCACTGCTCTCTGAAGGTCAAAGTTCTACCGTGTGGTCTCAGGGACGTTTCATTTCCGAGATGGCTGCAGAGCTAGGTGCTCTGTCATCTTTGCTGCACCTCAATGTTGTTGCTATCTCTTCAGGCCCATCAGGTGGCGGTTACTCTCAATTTTTGTTTTGCGGGAAGCACAGCCGGAGGCGTTTATGTCAAGACTGCGGTAACATTTGTGGCCTTGAAGGAGAGAAGTGACGTGCACACGTGTCTGTGTATACACTCGTCCACAAACAAAACAAAGGCTATTTGGGGCAAGTGCCGTTAGTGCAACGGATAAGGGGATGGTGTGGCCAGAACAACACCTGGCCGTCTTTGTCTCCCCCCTGTGATGTTTGTGCATCACGTCATATACTCACGTACTAAGGGGAGGCCCGGGATTGCTTTAGATATTCAACACTGATACTGGCCGTGGACTGGAATCAAACTCGGGTTGCCGAGTATCTAGCGTAGTGCAATCACCACGACGCCACTGATCCACCCATACAAAGATCCCCCGTGGAGGCTACAGAGACTTGGAGCAAGTGTTGTTAGCTAGCACCTATGACAGACACACAACATGCTCATACTTAGGGCATGTGTACATACGTCGGAGGGACCATAATACTGCCATGTGAGGAGAAACTAAAATATAGCAATTTGTAAAATATGTGAACAAATTCCCTTCATGCACAGAGTATGACTGACATTTGTTTTATGTTGCGCATCACGTTTGTTTTTCTGTTCGTCACCATTTTAATTACCTTATAATCGCTTTAATCTTTTTAAATATGTCAATGCAAAAGCTATGCACATAATGTATAATTCGTTGTGCTACTGTTTTGGGGTTGTTCTTTTGGTGGGGGGGGGGGGAGGAGTGGTAAGGTTCATTTATTGCACACATGGTACAAAGGTACTGTTTCGTTTGTAGACATGAATGTGATGTGTGCTGTGCAAGACGCTGGCAGGCCAGCACTGATCAAGTGGAATTATATATCCGAAACAATAATCATTCTATAGCAGAGAATTGTGGAACCGTGTCTTTACTGCGAGCCGAATATGACTTTCAAACTCATTTGCTGGGCCCGCACGTTGGTTGGCACCACACAGCTAGGACTGTATGCATCGAATGTGCGTGCGCGGCACATCTTGAAAGACAACAGGGCGGCTAAACGTGCTAAAACTAAAAACTTGTTGCTTTTTTCCGGGTCAAAAATATGCCCCTCTAGCATCCGATTAGTGTGGCTAAAATCCTTGGAGTGGTGGATAATTATTGTTTGTGCGGCCTTTGCGCAATGGTAGGCCTGGCCACGTGAAATAAATTCACTGGTACTATTCAATACGCAGGGCCATCGGTTCCCAACTTCTGTTCTATAGGTGAATATCATCAGCCTTAGGGCCACATCTTTTGGTGCTATTCAGCCATTGAAATGTTTGGTCATAGTGTCTATGAGGACTTTGAAAATTACATGTTTTTTGGCATCTGTGTTTTTCAACAGAATGCCATTATGCTGTCGGTGTGCTTTAATTCCCGTACAGGTGTTTCGTTTATTTAAAATTATGCAACTGCAACGGCCTAATTGGTTTGTATTCAAAAAGATATATGCACTCAATGAAATCTCACACTTTGAAGTAATTATGGCATGCGAATTAAATGTAGTGACTTTAATCTGGTGATATTCATGCCAGTGATGATGTTTAAAAAAAAAGTAAACTTTTATGTCAATCATCATTTATAATTTTAATCAAGTAAACATTTTTTTTACATTTTTTTAAAACTTACCGTTCACATACTTGAGGCCTTGTTATCAATCTACTCTGGACATTTTCGTTTTAGTTTTATCGAACACCAATAATCTTTTGCATTCACACGCGTATATTGCATCCGCAAAGCAATTATTTTTAAAATGTTTTTTGTATTCCTGACATACTATTTTGCACTGTACTTTACGTAAAATCATGGTGCTAGCACTGTTTGAAATAAAACTTGTCATGCAAAAATAAAGAAATAAACGCTACAACGTTGTATGTGACATCCATTGTCCTCTCTTAATAGAGAGTTCTTTGATATTATCTCCAGCCTTTGTGTCTTGGGATCTCCCGGGAGTCCACCGAATCCAATCACGGGGCAATCCTTCTAACCTTAAGAATATTCTTTCCAAACAATAAACGTGCTGGATCATCTAATCATTCCTATGAATGTGAGCGTGTGATGTCCTGACAAAGCTGCAAAGACATCATGTTCACCCATGCTCTTTATTTCTTTGCATAATTTATTTGAATCCCGAGTTGGCAGACATCAGCAATGGAATGGCCAGAAAATAATCAACAAAAAAGTCACATTGTCCGACTTATTCCAAGTTCGCTGACAATCTAGCAGAAATTACGGGTGCTCTAATGACGTTTGATTTATTTGCCGCTGCCCACGTGAACTCTACCTGTCACCGTCGGCTCACTCAAGGCTTGTGCACACCTGGGGGCTGTACGGCGCCCGTTTTCCCACTCACTTTTGTCCGTTTCAGCCTGGGCCTGTAACATAATATTGTTGATTAACGGCCCTCGGTCGTTGTCAGTCGTGGGGTTTGGTTTTACCATAGGGGCCGTCCATAAGTGACGTCACGCGATTTTGGACGATTTTTGACCCCGCCACCATCGTCACACGGCGTCACAAAGAGTCAGACCCCTAAAATATGACGTCACAAAGCTCTGCCCCCTCCCCCCCAAATAAAATATGCTTCATATCGCTTTAAACTATTGTCATTGTAGTGCGTATTTAATGTGGCACTGCACTCTGATGTTGTAGGAGAAAACATTTTAAAAAAGATATATTTAATTAAGTAGAACGTGTTG